CCACGTAGTCGCCCCTCGGGCTTGAGGCGGGGGGGAGAGCCCGCGCTGCTGCTGTGGGATGAATGAGGGGGCGGTCTGGGCCAGCCGGTCTTCTGCAAGGCGTGGGGGTTTGCAGCCAGGAGCTTGATTTGTTCCCTCAGTGCTGGGCTCCAGATTGCCTGCGCTTCGTCCCAGGGGGCTGTGGGGAGGTGACTTGTGTCCCACAGGGGAGGTGCCCGTGAAACCCGGCGCTCCAGTGGTTGGGGTACCTTTTACTTTCCACATCTTTGCTTTGCTATCAGCAATGCATTTTTGAGAACAAGCAAAAATATTTTTCATCCATGTGCAATGAGAATAACTAAATAGGAACGGCTGATCCCCAAGAACTGCCAGACAGTAGAAATTCTGATTGGGTTCTCAGCTGGCTGGGTTTCTGGAATTAGGAATCAAAGGTCCATGGCTTCATGATTAAACTAGATGGGTTTATGAAGGGGATGGTTTGATGAGATCACATGATCTTGGTAACTAATTGACCATTATCAGTGGGAAATAGGTCAATGGAGGGATGATAGGAGTTACTATAGAGAACTTTCTGGGTGTCTGGCTGGTGAGTCTTGCCCACATGCTCAGGGTTTAGCTGATCGCCATATTTGGGGTCAGGAAGGAATTTTTCTCCAGGGTAGATTGGCAGAGGCCTTGGAGGTTTTTTGCCTTCCTCTGTAGCATGGGGTACAGATCACAGCTGGAGGATTCTCTGCATCTTGGGGTCTTCAAACTATTTGAAGGCTTCAATATCTGAGATATAGGTGCGAGGATTAGTCTAGGATGGGGTGGGTGAGATTCTGTGGCCTGCATTGTGCAGGGGGTCAGACTAGATGATCATAATGGTCCCTTCTGACCTTAAAGTCTATGGTATTGTGTCAAAATTTGGCCAGATGATTTTATTGGTTCTTTGTTGATCACTCATTCTGAATTTTGATGTAGTTTGGCTCTTTGGTTTGAAAAATTGCTAACCCCTGCACTAGGGGCTTCTTGAATCCCTCTATTCTCTCCTCCCTCTGCCAAATGCTCTTTATGTCACCTTTCAATGCCCTTCTGTTACTCCCTGTACTTCCTTCCTTGTGCTAGAAGTTGCTCCTTCTTTATATCCCCTCTCTGCCATGGCAAAGTGGCTCCTTATGTTCCCCCCCATTGCCCACAGTTCTCATTTCTCCTGATGCTGGGCCCTGGGCCAGCTTCCTTTTTGCTACCAACTCAGCAGGGCAGTGGTGGGGGAAGGGAGCAAAAGGGCAGCAACATTGTTTGCCCATGTATGGGTTGGGAGCATCTCTTACCAGTATGCCTTACCTGTGGAGATGCCAACGTGTAGATGACTACATGATTAACTGATAAGCCTGGGTTTATTGGTTAATCCTGTAGACTACATGCATTCTCTCCCCCCCCCCACTGCCTCTGTATCAAAGGTACGGGGTACTAAGCAAGCCACGGGCTTGTGGATGTGAGGGTGCAAGTATTTGGGTTGGGGTATGTGAGAGGCTCAGGGCAGGGGGGGTCCTGTGTATAATAGGCTCAGATCTAGGGTCTGGGTGTGTGTGTGTGTGTGCAGGAGTGTTATGATGCTGCAGCCAGATGGGGGCTTGACCCCAGTTGGGGGTTTGTTGGCCAGGCTTCATTTTTAAATAAAATACGATGTCAAATACAAAATGTTTCTACATTGTCTTTATTTATGAGAAGGGCAGGGAATCTGTTTTGAGTCAGGGGTCACTGACCCACAGAAAGGTCAGTTGGGGGCCACACTAGTGAGATGCAAAAAAAATAATCCCCCCCCCGCCAACCCCAAGGGCAGATAAATGTGGCCCCAACTGTGCTGGTGGGAGCAGGGGACATGGTACTAGGGAAGGGTGCTAGTGGGTGCTGGGGCAGGGGGCAGGGAGCCAGTGGGGGCAGGGGACAGGGAGCCGGTGGGGGACAGGGTGCCATAGTGGGGGGAGGAGGCAGGGGGCTAGGGGACCAGGGGGCAG